ATATGACATGAATAACCAATCTGAAGCACAGAATGTCCCTCTAGTGGCTTTCTCAGCCATTTCTTTCTTTTGAACCAATATTTCAAAATTTCTGCTCAAAATTTCATATTTTTTAGACTAAAATACATTTTAATTACTACGTTTGATAAATTATAGTAGAATTCTATGGTACTGATGTAGTAATTTACGATCTTTTAGTTATTCAAATGTATATATATAACTTTAAAAAATATTTTGTTTCTTATCCTCCATGCGCAAATATTTTAAAAGCTTAGCAACCTACGTCAAACAGCAACCAAGTACAAAGGTCATAACTAGAAGAGATAATTGTTTGTTTTATTTTTTTAGTTACTGTTCTGTTTTAAGAAAAATAAGTTTAAGAACTTATTTCAAAATAGCATTAATCTATACACGTGTATAGCGTATAATAATTGAAATGTGACTGTATTTTACAAAATACTAGTCTACTAAAACAAAGCCAAGACAAGTTACTTTATTCAGACCAAAGGCCACCTTTATGTTATCGGATACGGTAACGTGAGTGCATGTGAGCCATGTCGTTGTAACTTCTGTATTGTTAGCCAGGCATGGGCAAAAGATCAATATGATAAAATGATAAATATATAATGTTACAATATTTAAGCTATTTCATCTAAACATTTATGTTTTCGTGTTATAATGTGTTCATTCTAGAATGAAATAGGCATAATATATATTTATTTCCTAATTTTTTTATGGTGGTTGCGAGAACGGTCAAATCAACCGAACCTGCACAGAGATTAATTACTGAAAGTAACATATAAAATATAAAGTTTTTTCTTAAGAAATGTTTGATAATCATCTCAACATTATAAAGATTTTGCTTCTGAAATTTGAAAATTTTCTGATGCACATTGACAGTGACATTCAAGGTTATAATACTGATTGTAAATGAAATTTTTAAAATATTTGTTTTGTCCGTCAACTTTAAAGTCTATTAATAAGCTTTTTCCACTTAATTTGCATATAAACAGCTGTGTTATATTACATGTAATGTTTAAGGTAAATTAAAGAAGTGTTGTCTAAAGAAAGTAATGCTAAATTAACCAGCAGTGGTTCAGTGTCTCCATCTTTCAAAAATACTACAAGTATGAATGAGATTTATTGCTAGAAGAAAATATTTTGACATTTCATTTTGAAGTTTAATTTGTTGATTTGTTTTAGACTTTCAAATATTCTTTCCAGCAAGGAGATGTAAGGGTGGCAGGAGAGTGGTAACTGTTCTCTCTCTCAACACCTCTGTTAATGCTGTAAAGGTTATTTAATAAAGATACTATTTGCAATGCACATCAGTTTGACAATATTTCAAACTTTGATTAGTTACAACTGATCCGATTATGCTATTGAATAAGATGGTAAACAAAATGAGTTATATTTATGGTGTTTTTAGTTGTCTTTTACTCACCACAGTAGAAGAATATGTATGACTTGAAGAATATGTATTACTTTATATTACTAATTTATTCTTTCAAATTATTCAACTCTGTCATTTGATTCACCATTTATCTCAAAGTTATACTATTTCTGGAGAATTCCACCTTTCATCAGTAGCACTGGACAATGGAAAAACTGAAAAATCATAACAGTGGAATTCTTTGAAATTGGTATATAAATACCATACACATAACATACAGTTTTCCACTTACGCATACAAAAATGACAAAATTGTGTTTCATATCTTACCACAAACCATAGAAATCTCCTTTCTTAACATAAAATGCATTTCCTTCAAGCGGAAATAACTCACCAGGACCTCCCTTAAAGAAAGCTGATGGTCCTTCTTCACGAAGAATTTTTCTGAATGCATCATAAACTCCACTGTAAGAGGTTTGTCCTTGGCGAGCCTGAACCTGAAGTCTTGTTTTAATCACATCAGCAGGGGTCACAAGGTAAGCTGCAGGAACACCTTCACAAACAAACAAATCTGTTAATAAAGCTTTAAAACTGCACACATATAAACAACAGTAAAAATGAAGGAACTATTACTACTTCAATTCTTTTCTTTTACAATATATCAACCTATCTGTTGTTGATATTATTTAAAAAAGATTAAACCCTATTACACAGGTTGATAGGGTATTTTACCACTTGCAAATTTGTAGGAATCTTCAAAGAACCTAATGTGGAGTTTCAGTGTAGACATAAGAAAAACTATACTGTATTGGATCTTTAACAAATCACTTTCTTGTTTAAATTCAGAAAACTTCTCTTCCAATTAGTTTGCTATTAGCTGAATTAACAAACTCTGCCAATCTTCTTTTAAGTAAGTGTTGTCCAGTAGTATAGATCTACTTTTAATACCTTGGTATTATTCTTAAACAAAAACAGTTAACTAATGGTTATGAACAGAAGTTCATGTAAGGTTAAACTTAAACTTTGTAATTGAATTTTATTGTTGCAGACTTGTAATTTTCACTCAATTTTCCAGAAATGTTCACTGATTTTATTTGTTTGAGGTATTGGACATTTTTTCTTCTTTTAAAAATTGTACTGGACATTTCATTCAATTCCCTCCCCAATATATCATAGTAAACCTTAAAAAACTAGTATTACTTCTTAGTTTTTCACATCATAATAAAAAAAATAAGAATTTTTTTTTGTCAAGAAGAAAAAAAATAGCAAAAAGGTTACACACTAAACTCAGATTTAGAAAATGAATATACAAATTATCTGTTTATAAGTCTACAATTTTAAGAAATATTTACTGAAGTGGTGTAAAATGTCTAAGCTACTGAAGCTATGGTGATTTTTAAGACGTAAAAAAAAAGGAATTTATACCACCATGCTTAATCGTAGAATGTTGACATTGTGCCACATAAAAAGTGTGAGGATTATGTTAGCAAACTGGATAGAAGAGTGACTGGATGGAAGAAAGCAGAGGGCTGTTACAAATGGAGTTCAGTCAAACTGGATTGAGGTCACAAGTGAAGTACCTCAGGGCTCAGTCCTAGGACCTTTGCTCTTTTTTGATTTACCTCAAAGGTATATATGAATAAATGGTCAATAAGGTTTTGGGTGTGGCTAGCTGTGTAGAGAATGCTTCTGATTCACAAAAGGATTTAGATCATTTAGTGAGTTGGACAAATAAATGACAAATGGGTTTAAATTATAATAAATGCAAGATAATGCATGGGGATTATCATAATTTGAATTATAAGTATAATTTGGATGGGAACCTTAATAGTGTTAAGGGATCTTGGTGTAATAATCAATCAGTCTCTAAAGCCACCCAAGCAGTGTGCTGTTGCTAGTGGTCAAATAGGATTTTAGGTTGTATCTACAGAAATATTGAATACAAGTGTAAAGGGTTATAATTTCATTGTATGGGTCACTGGTTAGGCTACATTCGGAGTGTTGTGTTCAGCCTTAGGCTCCTTACTTTAGGAAAGATATTGAATTGTTGGAAAGGGTTCAGAGAAGAATTACTAGATTGATACCTGGGATGGAGGGGTTGTCATACGAGGAGAAGTTGATCTCTCTCAAATTGTTTTCTCTTGAGTTAGGGGGATCTTATTGAGGTGTTGTAGATTGTAAAGGGAATTGATAGTGTTGATGCATCATGTTTTTTCACAATTAACAGTGAGAATAGTAGGTCTAGGGGACACAAGTATAAATTTTGGCAAAGTAGGAGTCATCTTTAGCTAAGAAAGTTTTATTTTTTTAACAGGATGGTTGGCCTTTGGAATGGGTTGCCTTTGGATGTTGTGGAGGCAGTAAATTTAAGTGAGTTTAAGAGAAAGCTTGACAAATATATGAATGATAAGGGCTGGCTTTAAGATTTGTTTTTAAAATTTATTTATTAATAGTTTTAGTTTAGAGGATTGAACAGCTGAGATGGACCAATAGTTTCCATGTTGTCCCAAAACATTATGTTATGTTTTTCCTTTATTAGATTATTCTTAACTAACCCATTATAGGTGAGTAAAAGTAATATACAGTATATACTTCATGGAACATTTTATGAAATATTTAAAATATAAACAGCCAGACTTTAAACAGCAAGAATACTCAATAACAAAAGTTTTTAAACGTAATATTTGAAATAACACCAATGAATTGACAATACCTGCTAAGCATGCTGATCCTAAAAGAGAGAGTGGTCCATTATGACCATGTTCGTCAGCAGTTGCTAACTTTGCATGTGCATAGGCAGGAAAATATATTGCAGAGAATGGAATATCTCTTAAAAAGCATGCTCGAGATCCCTGTGAAACAGTAAACAAACACATTAAAAACAAATCAGTAAAACAATTTAAAGAAAGTACAAATATCACATAAATGCTTATTTTTACATTCCTCTTCATTTTTCAATTCAAGATTCCAAATCAGATATATACAAACAGCATTTGAAATCTATTGTCTTGTCTACCACAAGTCACTGGTCAAGAAGACTCTTGTTACTAGAACTTCTCAGTTGGGCTGGATGATACAACCAAAAACACTATTTATACATACGGTATAATACCTTTAAAAGTTTAGTTTAAACACTGAAAGTTGACAACCAAAAGACCTGACAGAAGTATATGAAAAAGGCCTATTGGTTTACAACACTTCTTCAGCTTATGGCAACTAAACCATAAACTTTAAAGTCTAAATATTTAAAAGTGAAAAGAAAAAAAGTTAAAATTATAATTATTCTATAAAACATGGCACAAAATACAGAAATAGTTAATAGTTATAGCAATTTTTCTCTTAATATAATGATCAACTGCTTTTAGTTACAGGGCAATAGTCCTCTTCACACAGATCACTTAGAATGTAAATATACAGCATAATTTTCCCACAAGCTTATATTATTCACAGCCCACATATGAATAAACTTAAAAATCAGATTTCAAAAAACAAGAAAAAAAAGATTAATAAACTTTTTTAAAGATGTTTCACACTCATTGTATTTGACTGATCACATTTTATGTTGGCTTACACAAGGAATATGTTGATGGAAGTACTTAATAATAGAATCTCCAAGCAAGCAATGTCAAACCTGTAAGTTCATGCAGGAAATGGACAAATGTTCCGATAAAGACAACCAAAAGCAGTTCAAAATCACAAGTTCCATAACCTGCTCTACAAAACATGTTATTTACTTAATCCAATGTCAAAAATGCAATTTCCAATATGTAGGTCAAACCGAAAAAACTATATGGGAACCTTTTAATAACCATAAATCAACAATAAAAAACAAAGAATGGTCACAAAACACTTTAACATGCCTGGACACTCTCTTGAAGATATTACACTTAGAGACAAATTTTACATCTAACAGAAACAGGGAAATTAAAGAAGCTTATTGGATAGCACTGTTAAATACTGTAATGCCAAATGGTATTAATCTCGATTCCGGGGTTATTTACATTCGCAAGTCTCTGAAAAGATTTTCAAAACTTTACTTTACGTTATTAGTATTATTCTTCCTTAAATTTCACTCTACATATTGGTTTGATTTCCTATATAGTGAGCTACATTACTATTTTCTCTATTTCCCACCGCCATTTGTGGTTATTTAATTTTATTTCCATTGTTTATTTTATCTTTATAGAAATTAGTTAACAATTCTTATAACTACACACCTCTTTGGCACAAAACTAAACCTGACACAAACAACTCTAGGTTATGATTGGCTAGCTCTCAAGGCCAACTCCTATTGAACATCTGGTTACAAATAAGTCCATCACAACCAATATTAATTTATTTTCACTGTTTCTCTGTGATAGAGAGCCAAGGAAAATCACAACAATTTTCTAAAGAGGTGCTCCAACACAAACTGGATTTTTTTTTTTTCATGCATAGCACAGTTCACAAAACTAATCATCTACAGATTTCTGGCATCCAATCCAGTAGTAATGTTCTTTTCTCCTTTCCAGCGTTTCTTTAACACCTAAGTGTCCAGCAGTTGGAAAGTTAGAGATGCCAAAGTGCTTCTAACTGTAGTGACTGTGCAAATTTTAACTGAAGTTGTAATTTCTATTTACCGTTACTTTCCTATTTTTAACATGTGCCTTTTAATGCCCAGTACATCTTTCTCTTTGGTCTGTATTGAGCTCTTTTCATAGTGTTTACATTATTCAGTAAAACAACATTTTTGGACAATGCTTACACATTTCTATCATTTCATCAAAGACAATGCATGATGTTGAAGTTGTGTTCAAGTTTATGAAGCCTTTGCTAGTTGACCTTCTGTAAATTGTGAAAATTCATCAACCATTTCAATGGTGCGTGATCTGTCCAGCATACAAATTGTTGACTCAGCTTCAAAAAGATTTAGTAGTTCTAAGTTATATAATGCTTCCTTTCTGCTGCATTACCTGCCTTGCTGTAATAGGAAATCACGTGTTAGTTCCATAGCTGTACTTGTGATAAAACTGCTTTCACTGCAAAATCAATCACTTGCGTCCATTATCTTGAAGAGTTGGGTATCCTAATACAGGAGTATAATACATTATTTCTTAAATTTGTTGAATGCTTGTTCACAATCAGCAGTTCAGCAAAATTTATTTGGTTTTTTTCCAGTAATTTGGTAGAGAATGAATTATGTCAGAGAATAATTTTACAAAATAGTAATTGTAAGACCACAAGCCAAGAATCCTCTAACTACATTTCATGGTATTAACCATTTCTGAACAATCTTGATAGGTTCTGTAAATGATCTTCTCTCCAATGACTGTGTTCCCCAGTAAACTCTGGAGCAGTTCACACTTTTTGGGATTCAGCTTAAGGTTCTTTCCTCAATCAAGCCAATTCTTAGCCCATCACAAACTCCACTGAAGGTCTTTTCACATGTAAATCTAAGTAGATGAGTAAAACATTCCAGGGTAGTTAATACAGAACACATCCCATCATTCAAGTCTGACAAAGGGTTTTACACAGTTTAAATGGGAATACATCAAATTGCTACACCCATTTCCTGCAACATTTGCCCTTTAGATCCAATCTTGCAACCATTTTCACTTAAAGAAATTATCCAAAGTAGAGTCAATCCTTGGCAGTAGGTAGCCATCTTTCTTTTCAACTGCATTCACATTTTAGTAATCCACATAAAACCTAGTTAATCTACCATTCATCATAAATAAAATTGGTGGTGCCTAAGGTCTATCACTTTGTACAATTCCTCCTTGTTCTTTTGTGAATTCTATTTCTTTATGAGCTTCATTATAAAAATATTTTGCAGATCAACTTGCGTATTGGGCTATATCTCCAGAATCACTCTCATGAGATATATTATTTATCAGACTAATCATAAGGTACAATGGAAAAGGCATCCTTGTATTCTATGATGAAATCATGTAATCTATGGAATAATTGGAGCAAGCCTTTCAAAGCTCCTATAATTGAGGTGGTAAGTTATCTTTATAAGAAGATTTGACATCAGACTTTCTAAATTTTGTTTCTAAGGTGACTACTACTACAGGCATTCCTTGATGTGGAAGGACTATTTGTATGACCTCACATTGTAGGATATTCCATCCAGAAATGACTGATCTCATAGTTTATGTTCACAGCCTGAGTGATATTCTATTCATCCCATCCACAAGACTTCTTACAATCAATAATCTCTGAGGACAACATGAAGTTTTGATTATATCATGCCCCAGCCATTAGGCTTAAATTAGTTCCTGATATGTCTTGGTATGAGTATTCTCACTTCTGGCATTGTAATTGTTGTGTAGTGCATAGCAATATCATGCAAGTAATGAAAATACTTTTCAAAAAAAGGAATGGAGGGAAGGCTAATATTAATCCATCAAATACAATACAAACAAGATATTTACTTTCTTTTTTTGAAAAGTTTTTTCTTTACTTATTTTTTTTTAATTCAATGTTTCAATAGACATAGGAAGGTTGTATTTATAACCAAGTTCTAAATACAATGAGGTTCCAACTGCAATATTTATTGTTTATCTATTATTGGCTAATAATTCCCATTTCACCCTGTACTTAAGATTTTTAAAGGAACACCAAATTTATGTAAGAAAGCTAACTTCAAGGGGTAATGATAAAATCGTTTATACTAGAATTATGATTTTTGTTATTACTACTAGTTATCAATAATACTTACAAAAGCAGATATTCTGTTTGAAACTGTGTCACCTCAGGGAAGTTGGTTGACACCATTGTTTTGGTTTTTGAGTTATTTAATAAAAAAGAACTTCAAACTTTTTGCTATGATATTTACAGACATTCCCAGAACTTTTGACTCAGTCATTACATAGATATTGTTATAAATGTAAACACTGTACAGTATTGTTGTTCTGATGACCTATTGATGTGATATTTAAAATACCAGTTCAATGAACAATCCGAGTCATCCCCTACGCAGGCAGTGATGATGCCTGCCTGATACTTTGAAACTGTTTGAAGTTAGCCTAACCTCACATCCATGTCTCTGAAAGAATATTATTCCCCATACGCACCTTTCCATAAAGTCAATTATCCATACATAATGTTGTGTAGAGAAGCGCCCCACAATGAGGGTGGTTTCCAACTTTAATCTAGCTAGAATTTATGACCACTTATTAGCATCACTTCATCTTCTCGTTTTATCTCTGAGGGCAATTTTCAACCTTTCATTACCAGATCAAGTTGAACAATGGTAGCTACAGAATCAGGGGCAACCAACACATTGTAAAGTTTCCAATCCATTGAGTCAAGAACTGGTTTCTTTAAATAATGAAATCCTTAATTAAAATGGAGCATTGGAGTATTCTCAGCTAAACTTCACCCCTTAAGTTTTGGCTAAATTCCTGTTTTCCATTACCCAGTTAACTTTTTGCAGTTCATTTGATATGTGATGGCTCTGAGACTCACCTCCTGAGCTTATCATCATCTGTTGATTCATCACAGTGTCAGATGCAATGTCCATCTTTTCCACATTTATGGCAGTTTAATTTTTCTGTCATCTTTGAGAGTAGTTTTTATTTCATCCAAGTTTCTGTCTGTTCCTGGCAATATGTCCATTTAAACACCTACTAACCTGCAGGTTACATCTTCTATTTCAAGTAAACCCCTGTCTAATCTTTTGAATTCTTCTAGACTTCTATTACAGGTAGTTGATTTTTCCACCCAATTTGATCTGATGATCACACAAATCCTGAAGTCTCACTGATGTTAATTTTGAGCATTCTATGTTTGATAATCCTTGTGATATCAAACTTTCTGATCCATTAAAGTTTAATATCACCAGAAGAAGGGCATCCAAGCCCAAAACTTTGTGAATATTAAAACATCTATTTACCATTAGCCATTTTTCATTGTATAAGTTTTTTTTCCTCTTTTTTTGTCAACTAGCTGACAGTAAAAAACTGACTAAATCATGCACTGATTCCTCATTAACTGATTAGCAAATTCATTTGTTATCTCTAGCCTAATTCACTATTCATAAAACTGGCTCAAACTTTTTTATAATTTCAAAACAATTCCAGACTCTAAGCCACATACTTATTACATGGCATCAAAAATTCTACAAATGTACTCACTAAACTTTTGATATTAGGCTATGCACTCATTATGTGGCACCAAGCCTTCCTTCTGGTCAAAAAATATAAATGTCTAAATTAAAACACAAGTTAAAACAACACTTCCTTACTGCTTTATTTATTCATTTTTTATTATTAAAACCCACCTTATAAAGACCAGTAACTCCTAGATCTTTTATTACATCAAAAGCTCGTACTTTTTTACCAAGAGCAGCCAACTCTCCAGCTACTTGAAGTCTAATCTTCACTATTTCCAGGGGATTTGTAAACATGACCTGAGAAGCTCCAGCCTAATGAAGAATTGCAAGAGTGAAATTTGAGCATAATATTACTAAAACAGACCAATTTTACAGATAGTGGTCATACAAGGAAAAGAAAAATAACAGGACTTAAAGTAGTAGATAAAAAAACAAAACAAAAAAAAACTTGGATGTTAATATATTTCAATATTCGTTAATTTGAACTTCTGACTTTTTTTTTATTAAATCTATTCAGGTAGTCTCTGAATGTTACTGGCAACTTTACAATGGTTAAAGTAATATTTATTATGGCAAATAAAAACAATCTTAGAAAATAAAATTTAAATTTAAGGATTCTTGAGCCTGGGATTAATAAACATTTTAAAATAATTAACATCTCTCAGATTTATCAGCAAAAAGTTTTCCTAAGTTCCATGTGAGCTTATAAGCAGCTGATGTGAACGCTTTAAACAATCTTGGGTGAACTTTAGTTATAATCTAGGTAATGGTAAGTTAAACTATGACATGATGGAAACTTTTGTTTAATTTGGCCTTTTTTTTTATATACTAAATTAAAAATTTTGGTTATACTTACTAATTATAGTGTAATTGATAGAAAAGATTTAAATACAAAATGTAAACTGATTTAAAAACTTTAAAACTATAGCAGTATTTAAATCTAATATATAATAATAAAAGGATGTGTGACTACCATAACTCCTAGGGGAAAAAAACCTAGAAACCTGAAATTTTGCACACATACTAAATAGACCTTTGAGGGTTTGCACCTGGTTATTATTACTTATTAATGTGCATGCACTTTATTTCAATGAGGCACGCTAGCGAAAAACCACATAGAAAAGAAGTGTGACTGCTATAGCTCCAAGGGGAAAGAACCTAGATATGTGAAATTTTGCACCCATACGAATTGGAACCTGAGGGTGTGCACCTAGGTATTACTTATCTTATCCATGCACGTCTTTTTAATGAGGCAAGCTAGTGAAAAACCACACAGAAAAAAAGTGGTTCCTTATATAACAGTATATAATATATAGAAAAGCCACTGCATTCCTACAACAGATATAAAGTATAACCTAATAAAATGTGTTAGAAATTTGTGATATCAAATATAAATCTGAAATATTTAACTCAATGATAAAGTTCATTGATAATAAATTATTCTTAATTTATCGTACTTTCTTTACTATTTACTTTAGAATATATCAACCTAATAACCCGAGCAAAGCCGGGTACTTATGCTAGCATATAATAAAATAAAAACTAAAGTTGTAACCTGAAACAAAAAATCTTTCATAAGACTTTCAAAATGGGAGATTGACATTCCTTCACAATACAAGTAATTTATACAACATTATTCACTGTCTGTAGAAAAGTTATTGAAACCTCTAGGAAATGACTACATACAGAATATTTATATGTATATACCTATTTTATGACAGGCCTATTGCTTTTTTGTAGATGTGTACTCTCCACATAATTGTCAATCAAATTTGATGAAACTTTTAAAGCTCCTGAAGAAATCCATTAGAAAAACTGTTTTCAGACAAATGTTTTCATAAAATTTAATACACAATTTAGTGGAATTTTGAGTTTCCTGTATAATGATCTTAAAATTGAAAAATTAAATCTGCAAAGTGGAACTCTGATAACAGAAGGTATGATGACATAATGGTTTGTGTGACTTTTTATATAGATATTAATCCTTTTAACAGTTTAACAGATGAAACAAGGACAGTGGTGAAATCTAAAATGAAACCCAACAGTTAAACCTCATCACATTAAATGGGTTGACTGAAGAATGAAAAATGAAAGGAAGCAAAAACCAGAGGTACACAAAATTGCCTAAAGATGTAAGTAATGAGAGATGATTGTGTTAAGTATAGTCCACCTAAAAGTCTGTAAGATCTCCTTCAAAGTTCAGTGGTAAAAAGAGACAAGAAAGGTAGGGAAAGGCCAAATCTAGTGGGATATGACACAAAAAAGGATACAGTCAGACTGATCCAAAAAATATTTCAGAAGGCTGAGCTGGCAAACCCAACTAGTTTAAAGTGGAAAGGGAAAAGTCCCAAAGGAGGAAACATGTCATGGTAAAAATAGGTAAAGCAGTTTCCACGAAAAGGGGCACTCCGAGTAAGATAGCAATGGAAAGCTCTTGCAGGACACAAAAGACAATCTGAATGTGAACAAATGCACAATGAGGAAACAGAAGAAAGAGAGATGGGAGAAAACATCTAATCATCCTCTGGGACAGCACAAGTCTTTGGAAGAAAGGAACAGTAAAAAAACAACATAAACTGGTCCATATGATTAGAGTATGGAGGCATTTAATGCCATAAGCAAATAGGAAATATAATTTTTAAGAGACAAATGATAAAAGGAACAGGAAACCAATGGCGAAAAGAGGAATATGTAAGAGTCCAAAGAACCACATCAAGGACCCAATTGGAAAGAAGAACCAGATAAGGTGAGCAGTATAAAAAAAAAAAGAGACCTTGAATGGGCCCCATGAGAACAGCTGAAAGAAATGGACTAGAGCCTGACAAGAAGCAGAAAGTTGTGGACAATGCTTCTCAGTAACCTGCACTGGTTGAAACAAACAGGCCCTTGTTGAAGCCAGGTAAGAGAGGAAGTAAGATGTGGAAAAGTACAATGACCTGGTGAAAGGAAGTGACAAATGGATCAATAACCCAAAAAAGGTGGAGAGGAGGGGTAGGCATAAAGAAAGAGATTAGACCAATACTAGCTCAGAGCATTGACAACCATAGTGGTTGTGTACAAGATGGGTGACCAAAAAAGGGGAAGCTTGAAACTGGGAGGAGTCACAAAAGCATCAATCATTAGGGTCGTGAAATGGGAAGAAATGCACTGGAAGACCAAAGGATGCAAGGACCACTGCATGAGATGGATCCTGTCCAGTTGAGACAAGCAAGTGTATACTTGGTAGTTTATGCAAGTGGATCATCAGAAGATAACCTGACAATGAAGTTGGCAAGTCTGATAAGTTGCAATAATCTCCAAAATGTTGATATACAGAGATTGCTCCTATGGAGACCAGACCCCCAGAGAAAGTGGTGGTGTTGAGAACTGCCTCACCCCTAACCATAAAGAGAAGAATTGGCATAAAGATGCAAGTCAGGATGAAGCGTAGGGGGGTGCATTCCATGGGTTGTGTTGGAGTGATCGAATCACTATAACAGATGGATGTAGAGGACTGTAAAGACACAAGGGTGGATAAGGGATCACAAGATGTGTTCAAAACAGTCCACTGAAGGAGACACATGGCTGAGAGGTATTAGCAGTTTTAGGAAAGCAAGAGTCCTTAAAAGTGAAAGAGCCTTTCATGCAGGAAAAAAAGAAGTGCCTTAGACACCACCATTTTATTTTGCAAAAATGCAAAGGAGAAGGTTGAGCCTGTCCAATGTGGGAAATAAGGAAAACTACCAGGTGGACAAAATTCTGAGTAGGAGTCAAAATGAACTTGGAAAATTTGGACAACCAGCTCAGACAAGAGACCTCCTGAAAAACAATGGAGATATCAGTTGCAGAATCCTGATAAGATGGAGCCAGAAGAAACCAGTCATTCATATAATAATGGAAACAAAGGCCCAGAAGATGCATGGACCAAATGACGAATTGGATGATCTGGTTGAAAACACAATGGGCTGTGACTAGACTGAAGAGAAGGGTACATAACTGAAATAATCTTCTACTGTGGATAAACCAGAGTAATTGATGGGATGTGGAAGAAATAAGAATATGAAGGAAGTCACTGAAAATGTAGATCTTGGTCACTTACAGTGAAAGAGAGTCCAATGCAGACTGAGAAAATCAAGTGATTCAGAGACATGTCAATGGCAGGGTGCCAATATCCTTTCTTCTTGGGGATGACAAAAAATCTGAATAAAAGCCCTGAACCAGTAAAGAGATTAATTACTGAAAATAACAGATAAAAATATAAAACTTTTCTTAAGAAATGTTTGATAACTATTTGGACATTATAAAGATTTCGCATTTGAAATTTCAAAATTTTCTGATGCATAAAAGTATTTTGAATCTTAAAATGAATATTACTTTGCATGATAGATAGGCAATATGCAAAAAGAAAAAAAATGAGAAAAACATTAAGACTTAATAAAAAAAATTTTTTATTTTGCGTATGAAAGCATTGTAATTTTTACTGATAATCTGCCAAATTTCAATAACATTCGCTTACTAATTCAAAAGTTATAGCATGAAAACTATAACAAGCACAAAATGGTTATGAGGTCGGTCCCAGGGACCGAGCCCATGCTGAAAACAGTTAAAAAGAAAGAATGTCACAATACCCGAGTAATGAGAGTAGCAGACAAAGGAGGAGGTACCTGTTCCTCAACAGGAAGAGAAGAACCAGAAGCAAAGGCTGAAGAAGAAAAATGCTGATAAAATTCAGTCAGGGTGACTGGAACTGAAAAAGAAGCAGGCAGAAGGGAACCAGCCACCTGAAGCATAATAATGGTAACATCATGAACAGATAATGTGCCTCCAGTCACCTTGTTGCAGAAGAGGATTCTTGAAAAGGAGCATCAGAGCATTGGGATGTAGAAGCAATGTGTATCTGAGAATTCATAGTTGAGAGGCAATTCTAAAAGCTTTCTTTTGTTGTTTTAGACGGTAGAGAAAATAAACATGGTGACCACAGCACATCTGAACACATGCAGTGCCTCGATACAAAAAGTCTACAATCATGTGCTAGTGTTCATGTGGATTACTAGCATGGAGGTTATATCGCCCTCTTTTTGGGGAAGGGCTACAGCATTATGATGATTATATCATAGGTAAGTGCAATACATGTAGACATGTGGTGAGAATTTGTTCAAGGCTTGTGGCACACACACAGGAAATTCCACTGCAGTTGTACATGAAGTAACAGCTCTTAGTAGTACAGAGAAATAGGCAAGATTTCTGAACTACTAAAACCAGAACAAAGATTGGCATGGGTAAGTTGGCTTTTTGCATACTCAAACCAGAAAATATTCTTAGTCATTCAACGAAAACTGTCCTACAAAAATTCAAGATAATTTACTGTAAACCTAATGTTATAGTTATATTATACCATAATAAGAAAAATATCACAGAAACAAATGACCATATGGTTTGATGTACAACATTTTAATGTTTTAATTATTTGTTTAGGAATTTAAACAAATTAAACATTAAACATATAAATATCATTATTAGAGAAAGGTTTATGAATCACTGTGGATAACTTTTTATAAATACACATATTTCCACACACAATCAAATTTTGAGTGTCATAAATATCATACATCTTATTCTAGACAAAACAACTAAAAGGATGTACAACTAATTTAAGACACCATGCATACACAACTACCTAAATGTGAATCTTAGTGAAGTACATAAATCTTTGTTTTTATGTGACTTCAAGTTAATTTTGTTTTAATTTCATTGATACATGTTTCTCTTCTACTAACATGACAGATTTTGTTACTCTTGGGTATATATGTTTACTGAAAGTGTGAAACTTTTTGGGGCCTGTGATTGGCATTTTAACACCATAAACATACTTAAGATGTCAAGGGCTTAAAAATACAAAACAAATTTAAGGCTTCTTAAGGCTCCAGAGGAACCTTGATATCAACACCAGTTTAAATCATACAAGGATAAAAAAAAAAGATATATATTTTCAATATAAATAAATATCAGTATTACATTTTACTGCAAAATGAATGCATTTATTAAATGTAAAAAATTAAAAGACATGAGATATACGATATTATTTTATAAGATTCCATTACTAATCTTATATCCAGTTTTCTTGGGAAGCAAAAAATTAAATCCTGGAGGATTATCTAATACAAGAATTAGGCAAATGACATTCACAGAAAACTTATTTCAAAAGTGGCTCGCCAATTTATGAAAGTTCATGGAAACAAATGTGTCTGATATAAAAGACTGTTTAGTGCAGGTAATATTAATTTATTTATTTTGTGAGTTAATATGTCATGATTGTTTAGTTTTTTCATAATAAGAGAGTTAAAAGTAGACGATTATTGTAAGTTGTGTATATAAGTCATTGATGTCGAGGCTACGGAGATTTCTAGAATGTCTCAGTGAGATATAAGTAGCAGCAACCAGACAAGAGACTAGAGAGCGGGAAGAGAGCCAAAAGTAAAGCCGAGTGAAAGAGTTTCGGTCAGAGAAGTTAGAAAATGTAATGTCAAGTGTTGTAGGAGTGAATAGCCTAACAGTTGATAAGTTAAAGTGAGATTTACAGTTTTCTGAAGAACAAGTTGTCTCATCAAAGGGTCTTCAAAAGCAACTCAACATGCATGTGTGGACTTTGACAAAAAGCAGATGATTATTTGGAAGCAGGCCTAGAAAACAGACGAGTATCGGAAGTTCAGGATACAACTGCGGTAACTCATGAGTCAGCGTAAGTGACTTATACACCAATACTGTTGTGATAAAAAAAAGAGAGAGAGAAGAAAAGGAATAAGTGAATTATACACTGATAGTGTTTAAGATAAAAAGAGAAAATAGAGAAAAATAGTTTGGCTTGTCAATTGAATTCTAAAGCAATTGAATTGGCCTAAATGGACTTTTGACAATAAGAAGAGAACTGTATAGTATTTAAGAAACAACTATGATATGTGTGTGT